CCTTTCTGCAGCCCCTCATTCTCCTTTCTGCCAGCCACCTGCGAGGACATCCCTGCAAGCTCGCCATCAGCTTTCTGCTTGGTGTAACTTGACGGATAAAACACAAGGTCACGGTCTAAATCATGCGCTGGTTTCTTTGCGCTCTCCATCATCAGGTAATCCAGATAGGCGCACCAGCCCGCGCGATGAAATGTGAAGAATCCATGGTACCCAAACTCTTCGGCCAACAGCTTGCGAACGCCAGCGTGCACAAACGGAGCTCGAAACAGAAAGATGAGGTGTTTGTGTCTTTCCCGAGAAGCACCATCGGGCTGGTAATGCTTGTGCGGTTCATCCGCCACGGCAGCCTTCACAAGATTGTGCAAGTAACCTTTGCTCTTCAGCGCTTTTGTGAAGGCCTCCAACAGTTTCTCCTTGGAAACATCACAAGGCTTAAGGACCTTTGCTGCTCGTCGATCTTCCAAGTCTTGGAAAAAATGCCGCGGACATGGCCAAGTAAACATACCAGCATATGCCCTCGCTTTAGCTGGTGCATTCTCAGCCTCTGTGGAAGTGTCGCTGTTGCCCAAAGTCACAGATGGTTTTTCCTCCTCATGGCTTGATGAAGAGGACGAAGAGGACGAAGCGGGCGAAGCGGATCCGGAGGACTTCGACGTGGCCATGGCCTTGGACATGATTAGTGATGATTTACAGTTGCGTGCATTATATACAACTACCATCATAGAGTCCTAAACTTGGTGCGTTTTGTTTGGCAGGAACCACAGTTTGAGTAAACTAAAAGTGCGCCAAAGCTTGCGCCTTCCACGAAAAATGAAAGCAAAGGTTCACCAAACGCTGCGCCTGCCACAAAACCTGCACTTCGAGGTTCATAAAGTGCTGCGCCTGCCATGAAATCTGCACTTCGAGGTTCACAAGACGCTGCCCCTCCTACGAAATCTGCACTTAGAGGTTGACAAAGTGCTGCGACTGCCACGAACTCTGCACTTCGAGGTTCTCAAAATGCTGCCCCTCCTGCGAAATCTGCACTTTCAGGTTCACGAAATCTCCACTTCGAACTTCGAGGTTCCCAAAATGCTGTGCCTGCCATGAAATCTGCACTTCGAGGTGTACAAAGCGCTGCGCCTGCCACGAAATCTCCACTTGGACGTTCAGAAAGCGCTGCGCCTGCCACGAAATCTGCACCTCGAGGTTCACAAAGCCCTGCGCCTGCCACGACATCGGCACCTCGAGGTTCACAAAGCGCTGCGCCTGTCACGAAATCTCCACTTTCAGCACAGCCAGCGCGGCCAAAATCGGAGTACTCCCCACACGAAAACGCAAATCATAACGTTGGAATCCAACGTTACGATCCGTTTTCGGCGACAGTTTCACAAAAAAGTGCAAATCATAACGTTGGACTCGGTTCAAAAAAGAGAATTACTATAATCTTTTTCAAACGCGTCCAACGTTACGATTTCGACTTTTGTCCCACGCCTGCCACGTAAAACGAGCATAACGTTGGATTCCAACGTTACGATTCAGCGTCTGGCCACACGTTGGGCCACCTGGAGCTTCAAATTCCGTGCGCCGGCCACGAAACATGAAAGCAGGTTTTCACCAAACGCTGCGCCTGCCACCAAAAATCGAACTAGAAGTTTAAGAAATGCTGTGCTTGCCACGAAAAATGGAACAAGAAGTTCACTAAATGCTGCGCCTGCCACGGCAAATGGCAACAGAGGTTCACCAAAAGCTGCGCCTGCCACGAAAAGTGGAACTAAAGTTTACCAAACGCTGCGCCTGCCCCGAAAAATCGAATCAGAGGTTCAACAAATGCTGCGCCTGCCACGAAAAGTGGAACTAGAAGCTTACCAAATGCTGCGCTTGCCGCAAAAAATGGAAACAGAGGTTCACCAAATGCTGCACCTGCCACGAAAAGTGGAGCTAGAAGTTTAACAAACGCTGCGCCTGCCCCGAAAAATCGAATCAGAGGTTCACCAAATGCTGCGCATGCCACGCAAAGAGGTCCCCTGTGCGTGCCACGAAAACTGATTCCACAAGTAGCGCACGCATTGACGGTACCTATGGGACACTATGCAAGAGGTTAAAGGAAATGAGTGTGTTTTTGCATTTTCTACACATCACTTGTGACACTGCGGTTCCTCTTCGACTATTGAGTGAAAAATGGAAGTTCTCTGTTTTGAGATGGAGCTGATCATTTCAATATGTTGTGACTGAGCCACATGATGATCGAATCAGACAGAGGTTCAGCAAGGTGACGGCTTCCAAGCTCTGTTCCTGAGGTCGCCCGGCGCGCAAAAGCACGCTCGAACGCAACTTCCAAACTCCCCCAAAGTGCGGACACCGCACGGCACTGAGAAGGCCGAGGTTAATGCGAATGAAAGTTTGGATCCATGTGTCCAGTGTGCATATCAATCGGACCCCAGCAGCCGAAAACCGAAACCATGGGGGTATCTAACACTGAAGGCAACGCCAACATGCCCCACCGCGTCGCCCAACACGCCGAGCGGCCACCTGCATGACAAACGCCGCAAGGTCCAAGCCGAAGGTCAAAGCCTGCAGGTTTGCTCTGCAAGGCGACGGCTTCCAAGCAGCCTGTTCCTGAGGTCACACCGGCGCGCGACAGCACGCCCAAATGCAACTTCCAAAATTATCACTGAAATACGGGCAGCTCACGGCACTGAGAAGGGCGAGGTTAACACGAATGAAAGATTGGATCCATGTGTGCATATCAATCGCCCGAGCAGCCGAAAATAGAAAAGCATGGAGACATCTAATAAATGTAAAATAGGGGATGCACTCATCACCGACATCCCACCCACCGCGTCGCCCAACTGCATGACAAACGCCGCAAGGTCCAAGCCGAAGGTCAAAGCCTGCAGGTTCGCTCAGCAAGGCGACGGCTTCCAAGCAGCTGTTCCTGAGGTCACACCGGCGCGCGACAGCACGCTCGAATGCAACTTCCAAAATATCACCCGAAATGCGGACAGTGCACGGCACTGAGAAGGCCGAGGTTAAACACAAATGAAAGTTTGGATCCATGTGTGCATATCAATCGTCCCAGCAGCCGAACGCAGAAAGCATGTGGACATCTGAACCTAAATAAGGGATGCACTGAAGGCATCGCCAACACGCCCACCCCAGGAGCCCCTAGTAGCGTCCTTGCCCCTATAGTAGTAAGGCAGGAAGTAGCATCCTTGCTCCTAGTAGTAAGGCCAGGACCCCCTAGTAGCGTCCTTGCTCCTAGTAGTCAGGCCAGGAGCCCCTAGTAGCATCCTTGCTCCTAGTAATAAGGCAGAGCCCCTAGTAGCATCCTTGCTCCTAGTAGTAAGGCCAGGAGCCCCTAGTAGCGTCCTCGCTCCTAGCGATAAGGCCAGGAGCCCCTTGCTCCTAGTAGCAAGGCCAGGAGCCCGCGTCACCCGACAGGCCGAGCGGCCACGTGGCCGGTTGATACGACCACGGGCGAAGAGCTCGAAGTCGAAGAAGGCACCTGCATACCGACGAGCGAGCGACCGCGGTAGTAAGGCCAGGAGCGCCGAGTAGCGTCCTCGTTCCTAGTCATGTGCCTAGTGGCGTCCTTGCTCCTAGTAGTAAGGCCAGGAGCCCCTAGTAGCGTCCTTGCTCCTAGTAACTAATAATAAGACCAGAGTAAGGCCAGGAGCCCCTACTAGCGTCCTTGCTCCTAGTATAAGGCCAGGAGCCCGCGTCACCCAACAGGCCGAGCGGCCACCTGGGCTGGTTGACACGACCACGGATGAAGAGCTTGAAGTCGAAGAAGGCACCTGCAAACCGACGAGCGCGCGACGCAGTAGTAAGCCCAGGAGCGCCGAGTAGCGTCCTCGCTCCTCGCAATGTGGCCAGGAGCCCCTAAGAAGGCCAGTAGCAAGGCCAGGAGTCCTTGCTCCTAGTAACAAGGCCAGGAGCCCCCTACTAGCGTCCTGAAAGTAAGGCCAAGAGTCCCTAGTAGCGTCCTTGCTCCTAGTAATAAGGCCAGGAGCCCCTAGTAGCGTCCGTGCTCCTAGTAGTAAGGCCAGGAGCCCGCGTCACCCCACAGGCCGAGCGGCCACCTGACCGCGGATGAAGAGCTCGAAGTCGAAGAAGGCGCCGCGCATCAGCCGCTGGCGCATCAGCCACCGAATGACATGGAGCGGCGAAACCAACAATTGAAAAGCGCTACATCCACAACGCAACATAACGTTGCCATTAGCAACCGAAGCAAACGTTGAGCAAGGTCATTTGCTCGAAAAGTGTAACAAAACAGAATGTTGAGAAGGGTCCTTGAAAGCACTAGGAGCAACAAAGTCCACAGTCTTGGCAGGGTCAGATTGTGGTTTTGCTATCATCTTGTGGTCTGCTTGTCTTTAATTTCTGTGATACCGTTTTTCCTTTCAAAGTTGTTCCGCTTCCTGGCTGCAATCCAGAGCAAGAATGACCGAAGGGTTTCCGAAAACTGCTTCTGGAGGTGGTCCAAAACATAAACCCCGGTAACAAGGCAAGGGCAACCGCACGCAACCAAACAATTTGCGTCACATGTTTCTTTATTGGGCCAACCCTGTAGTTGACGCATCATATTACACGGTAATAGTATGTCAACATCAAACATCTCACTATCTCTTTGAGGAGCTCATATTATCTGCCTCAGCTGCTGCAGGGTACTGCGGGCACGACAAACCTGGACTAGCAAGCCTAGACAGAGAGAGAGGGAGAGATGTGAGGGACTCTAGCCCAGCATACGCTAGCTTTTGCGAGCACGGCCAGTTCGGCAAGGTTGCTCTTACAGCCCTCGCTCAGCAGTTGTCAGCTTAGCTGTAAAAAAAAAGCTAGCACGTGGGTGACAGGTGACATATTTATCGCTTGCGCCGGCTTCTGCGAGCACGGCCACTTCAGCAAGGTTGCTCTGACAGCCCCCGCTCAGCAGTTGTCAGCTTAGCTGTCAACAAAAGCTAGCACATGGGCGCAAGTCTCTCTTTCCCCAAACACTGCCAATGTGCCCTGCAATATAGCTATGTGGACATCTGCTCAGACTGCTCAGATTGCACTCGACGCGCCAGCAGCCAGGTGAGATCAGCAGAGCTCAACTTGCCAGCGCGCCGCATGAGTCTCTGTCGCTTTTTCTCCTGCATGTGCGCCAGAATGAGTCGCGCCGCGCGCAAGTCGGAAGCACAAGCAACACAATACTGCATCAAATTTCAACAATACATGTGGATCATGCGCCGGTCGCCTCATTGCGAACCTCACGGTTCGCTTGCTGGAGCTGCCGCTTCAGGTTCTGCCGCTGTGTTTTGAGCGAAACCAGCCGATCGGCGGCTGGGTGCCTCACGACTTAAATTCATCAGGAAGTGGTTGGAGGTCTGAACCAGTTTGGTGCCAAGTATAGCCTTTCCAAAAATGATAAACATTAATGTCCAGATGCGGCCCAAACAAAATCACGTTGCTTGTGGGCGCTCCCAAACATGATCAGCGTACTATGTGCGTGCCGGCGGTGCGAACCAACAGATATATGATGGCGGGGCGCCTCGCAGCCGGAGCTGCTGCTGCTGTTGCTTCTTCATCAGCGGCTGCGTCAGACATGGCAGTCGGGAGTGTCTATATAATATATAAATATTGGGGACGAGTGCTTGAGCAACATGTACTGCCCCACGGACGGGCACCGACGGCGCCCGACGGCGCGAATTTCCAAACCGAAAAATGGACCGTCTTCCAAGTTCAGCAGTTGCACCCCTCGAAGAATTGACTGCACGGGCACTTTTTTGCATGGTGCTTCCTCAGTCTTCACCATCATACAAACACGCATATGCGTATTTGATGCGACGGTTCTGCGGCCATATCAGCCGAACGTCCTCTGACGTTGGCTTGGATGAAGCAGGGAGACATGTAGGGTGCTCCATGAAAGAGGCAAGTACAGAGTGGAGGTCGCTGGCTTTGCCACTGGCCCCAACTCCGCGGAAACATTTGGCCCAAGACTTGGAACAAAAAAATTGCCTTGGCGCCTGGCCTAATTGCCACAGCCACGCTAAAGTCGATGGCAAGCCATCAGTGGCTGTCTGCCTGTGCTCGTGGTATTTCTGGCGGAGGTATTGCTTGAAGCTGGAGAACGCATAGACGTCCAAAGGCTGGCACAGGCTAGTTGCTCCACATGGAATATATACCAGCGAAATGTTCAACTTTCTTGCAGCACGCATGACTGCCTCTGAAACGTGAGCTGGCGCCCCGTCCAAGAGCAATACCGGCCTAAATTGATGCAAAAACGGTTCTAATGCTTTTGCCACTTCTTGCAAGATTGCGATCATCAAATCACTGGTAACCCACGCACTCTTCCGGCGAAGCACTTGCAATTGGGTCTTCGGCAAGCACTTGAAGGCCTTCACTACCTTGCTGCTCAGCCTGGTGCCATTGCTCACAAGAAAGTGGGGTAGTGCTGGTTGAATTCCTGTATTTGAAGCAATAACAGCGCAGTACGTAAAAGTACCTCGCCTGCCGGCAGGCTGGATTTTGGCGTGGGGCACGGCTGGGAGGCCGGAGCCCTTGTACTGCTTGCGGTTGATCACACAACCAATAGCAGGTCGTGCAGTGTAGGGCACACTTGTTTCATCCACATTGAGATACAAAATCTCACGACCATCACAAGCCTCTGGACCACGCTGAAACGCCAGCATCTTCCAGAAGCATTTCACCTCCGAGCCATTCATTCTAATTCAAAGCACACCCTCAAAAAAGAATCCGGGGCCAAAAACTGTCCCCAAAGCTGCCTCGCAACCGAAAACAATTTTTCACAAGGCGGACCTTGTTTCAGGTCCATTTTTCGGTCCCATTTTTGGCCCCTTGGTTTGACCGGTTTGACCACCTATACTGACACCACTCGAAGCACCTTTGCCCGCAAGCTCGGTGCATCTGCTGGAATGGCCATGGGCAAGGCCGCCCTTCGGATGCCAAAGCGTTTTCGCCAACCAGCAGCCCACTTCTTGATATAGTCGCGGCTTGGGAGTACCTCCGGTAAACCGCCCGAGCGTGTCTGCGCAAAATGCGCAAAAACCTCAGCCGAAGTTGGCGCGACACCATGGAGACTGTTTTGCGAGTGGACATAGTCCACCGTCTTCACCTCTGCCACAAAGCGAACGGCCACATTTCTGGCTTTTGTCCAATCATCATCGTCGCTGTGCAGCCGCAGGAGCTCTCCAAGGTTTGTCTCTCGAAACAGAGATTGGACCAATGGTTCTGACGGAAACTGGGGGG